CTAATGAGGCCTCCTGCTGCCGCGACACCGCTGCCACGCAATTTCTGTTCTCATCCTGAAGTAAAGTTCTTAACCTGAGGTACTACTTCCGGATTAGCGGAGTCTGTAACCTGAAGTGTATGTAACCCGAGGTACCACTGTATATCTCTGAATGAGTTGCTGGTAGAGACACATCTCCCAATCCCTGATCAACAACGCTTTCAGATGTGCCACCACTTCCGCAGCCAGCAGACACCCCCCTTTCCTCGCGGGTGGGCCAACTCTGGTGGTTGCGCTCTCTGGGGGATTGGGTAAACCTACCCACCCTCAAATAAATAGTTTTTACATTGGGGTGTACGAATCATCAGACTTTTTTTAAAAGGTAGGGCTTATCTGTCAGGAATTTCGGGAACTCTGCCTGAAGGGCATGGAACAGGGGTTTGATCCTATGCACGGAAATTAACTGACCAAGGGCCTATCTAGCTCAGTATTGTTTGCACGGACTGGCAGGATTTCAGCAGCAGGCAAGGCAACTGCTCTACCGCTGGCCTTTCTCAAAACGCCTCTTCTCCTGCAGCGTAAACGTGCACGGAGGCTCGGGTCGCATCGCTGTTCGGGTCGCCTTACTTGGGAGTAAGCCCCACGCAGGCAAAAGCTGAGCCGCGCAGGGCGGCGCTGCCTCGGCTGCCTGCGCAGCCACTTCATTCAAAACAGCGGCCGACAGGGAGAGAAAGGAATGTTGCATAAATATTGCGGCGAGCAGCCAATGAGAGCAACGGAATTTATTTCATTCAGGGACAATCTGTGATCTGGAGGAGGCGGAGACACCCCCCCCCGGCCAGCCGAGCCAATGGACGCGCTGCGGAGGCGGGGTGTCCCTCTGCCAAAGGCCAACGAGGGCTTTCGGAGCCTGAACTTTTGCCACCCTGAACAAGTTAATACATCCCGGAGGCGTGGCCCAGCCTCTCTGACTCCGGCGGAGGAGAGGCGCTTTAACCCTTGGCGCGCCGGAGGAGAACGTCTTTCCAAAGCCTACCCTTTTTAAGCAGGGGGTTGCCAACTTGCCTGCCTTGGCCCTGCTCCTCTGTCTTGAACAGCAGCCGGGCGGGGCGGGGGGCGGCGGGATAAATAAAGCAGGCGAAGCGATTCCCAGCACGCTTATAGACAAGCCAGGAAATATCTTCACTTGCTTAGGATAAACGTTGATGCTGAATGGCGTTGCCAAATATGTTTTGCTGGGTCCTGTTCCTGTGCCTTAAAAGAACAGTTTTTCTGAATACTGTGAAAGGCTTCACTGCCTGCTTTCTGCAGAGCCAGCTGACAGGAGCAGGTATTTGTGGTCATCATGGTCAGTTGGCTACCCTGGTATTAGAAGCTAGGGAGCAGGGGGGGGGGGGGAGAGAAGTGTCAGCCCATCCAGAGATTTCAAGACCTCATCCTTTCTCTCTCTTCCATACACGTGCAATTGTAGAACAACTTTGCAAGATATGATGGAGGAAAGAATGAGTAAGATAAAAAGTCCACATACCCAGCAACTAATTGAATATCTCTGCAAATTTCACAAGCAAGGCATGAGGATTCTCCTGGAAACCCATCTGGTCCTCACTACCTCTGAAAGCAGAATGCTTGGGTCTCATGCAAACCCACAATTTCTTTGGCATTTGAGAAATTTATACAATAACAATTTTATTATTTTATATAATAATCTAAGGTGGACACAACAAACAGAAAGAAATGTATGTGTGTTTATACAGCAAATATCCCCAATGCATTTGATAAGACTATTCTGTGCATATCAGATAATCTTGGAAATACCAAGCCCTGTTGGATATTATGAGCACTGTCCAGCATTATTTAGCCCCAACAATGCGGCAGACTCTTCTGCCCTGTGTCCAGAATCAAGCAGGGTTGGGCTTGGGAGAGTTTACATCCAAACAAGGTAACAGCTTCAAAAAGAAAACACACCAGACAAAGCGAAAGCAACTCCCTTCTGGAGCCATCTAAACCCCCAAATTTGCATTTTGAGATTATTTCTGTACTTACACTTTGTGTTATGGGACATTGGTGATAGTGCCCTTTAGCTTCTCGTTTTATGCAGTCCAGGGCCTCACTTTTTTATGAAGATGGGCCTCGTGGAGCAGACTTTTTTAAAAACAAAAAACAAAATGCAACCTTTGAAATGATATGTTGTGGGTGCTGCCATTAAAAAACATACAGCAACCCTGCATTAATGAGATGAAGCACAGGGAGAACTGCAGCCACTGTACACTGCTGCAGGGCAGTTTGGGGTGTGCAGATGAGTCTTTGCAAAACAAGGGGTGTGGTGTTGTGATGTGTGTGTCCCAGGGAGATCTAGGGAGTTGAATTGAGGGTGTGATTCTTGGAGGACAGAAATGCCCTTCCATAGTCTTTATCAGCTAGCAAACACAGGAAGCGGCCTAATACTGAGTCAGGCCATTGGTCCATCTAGCTCAGTATTGTCTACACTGACTGGCAGCAGCTTGCCTCTTCAGGGTTTCAGGCAGGGGTTTCACCCAGCCATACCTCAAGATGCTGGGGAGTAAAATGGGAGATCTTCTGTATGCAAGGCATATGCTCTATCTCTGAGCTTCAACCCTCCTGGTCTTTTGAAGCAAATGGTGATTCCAAATGTGGCAGCCATGTTTAGCTTTATCCCCTGCTCTTCTTGGACTTTCGCTAAGTAATTAAAGGTGAGCCTGTGGTTGCATCTACTTCTGCAATGGGGATTCAGATTCCTTCTGAACTGTTTGCACCCAAACAATTTGCAAGCAGGCATTTTATGTCCAAGCACTTTCCTTACATATGAAACTTGCTACTCGGCCTTTTTGCTAAGATCAAGTGTAGTGTAGAAACTTGCCCTAAACTGCAGGTAACCAATGGGTAAAAAGTTGCCCTACTGCAGCCTCAACGTCCCAGCCAAACCTATGTGAGATGCGAATTTTCGGCTTCAGTTTCCCCCTGTGTTAAAATGGGAGGAACAGCCGCCTACATCACAAGGTGATGCTGCTTGGGGGCGCCAGTGGAGTTTGCAACCCAAGAGGTATGTGCCAGGGTCCCTGCCTTGCAGTGTGCAGTGGCTGGGATCCCATGCAGGAAAAGACAATTTGGAAGCTATACCCCAGCATCCCTTGCAAATCTGCACACTATCTTCCCAAGGTATATGTTTCCCAGAACCTGCCATGCAGCTTTGATGTTTTGGGCAGCCTTGAAGGCTGTGTCCCAAGGATGTAGAACTTGCAGCCTTCCAGATCTTTCTGAACTACAACTCCCACCAGTGCCGGAATTAGGGCAGTGTGGGCATTTCCTCCACAAAAGGAACTGAACCAAGGGGGTGCAAAATAATAACATTTATACTGGTACCTACTGAAAGGTAAGCCTCAGTCAGACAGGGGATTGAGTTGCCACAACTGACATACTGCATATGAGAGCATGAGCAGAACACAAGTCCAGAAGGGACTGATGGGAGCAGGTTCCACACCCCTGTAGACACCCACTTAGTGCACTTGTAGCCTGATCTCATGCAGTCTGCCCAGAAGTTAACTCCCACTGAGGTTATTAATTTTGCATGCTTACTTGGGACTAGGTCTCATTCATCACCATGGGATTTATTGAAAAAGGATGAACATTCTATGGAGCTTCAAATGCTGGAGCTCAGTGAAGACTTGCTGTAGAATCAGCCAGTTCATTAATATTATTATTATCATCAATATTATTACTGAATAAAAGAGGACATTCTTAGAATCACTGCCTCTTGGCCCACTAACCTACCTCACAGGGTTGTTGTGGGATTAAATGAGGAGGGGGAGACCCACCTGGAGCTCCTTGGAGGAGGTGGGATAAAAAAATGCCTCCAATAAACAAATAAACACTTTGGCCATTTGCACACAGCAGATAGGAAGCAAAAGGGCACGAGAACTTATTATAATTCGCTCCCATTTCCCAGCCTCTTTTTATTATTGTTGTTCTTATTAGTTCTTTTGCGAATCGTCTTCCTCACAGAAGCTCCTTCCCTTCGCTTAATTATTATTTTAGGGGTGGGGGCCAAGAGGGTGCCCCAAAACCAGAAGCGCGGAGAGAGAGAGCGAAGGGGGAGCCAGAAGCCAGGAGAGGCGAGCGAGAACCGGGAGGCGTTTTCCTTTAAGAGTTAAGAAACTTGAAACCTTGTTTGCGCAACCATCAGTGCAGCTCCGCGCCGCCAAAGTGTCTAGACTGGCACATGATGGGAGGGAGCCAATGACTCCAGCGCTCTCCTAGGGGGCCCTGCGTGTGTGTTTTAGAAGAACAAAAAAGAGAGAGAGGGAAGAAGTGGGGGGGACAGAGAGAGGGAGGGAGAGGCGACGAGGGTCTCCGCTGCTCGGGAGGCAGATCTCGGCGGCCCCCCAAGCCCGGGGGGCGGAAGAAGGAGGAGGAGTGAAGTCGGGGGGCTCTACCCTGGGTGGACGCCTCTGCCCCCAGGAGCCTCGCCGGCCCTTCTGCAAGCACCGAGGGCTTCGCTTGGCGTGGATTTGCTGAGGCTGCTCCGGACCGCCGAGGAGGATTTGGGGCGCCTTTTCTCCCCGAGCGGCGGCGGCGACGACGGCGCTTCTTCACATGCGCCTGCTGCAGTGCTGCCTCTCCTGCCGCCGCCGCGTTTCTCTCGGGCTGGGATCTTGAGTACCGAGCCAAGCCATGCGCGGCGCCGCCAGCCTGCTCCTTGCCCCGGGGGGCGGCCAGCCTCTAACTTGGGAAGGCGTCGGGGCAACTTTTTAAAAGGTGCCCCAGCCAGACGCAAAGGAAGGACCGCGGCGTCGAGGGTTTGCAAGGGCGAAAAGGAAAAAGCCTGGGGGAGTTTTGTTGTTTTGTTTGCTTGCGCGCTTGTTCGTGGAAGGGCTCCCTCGCAGAGAGGGGGGCCGGCAAGCCTTCCCCGTCCCCTCCTGGCTCTCGGGGCTCCATGTAGGGCCGAGGGGGCGGGCTGCGGCGGATCCCCCGCTCGCCAGGACGCCGGCCTGCGGGGCTCCGCTCTATGCCATTGCTGCCTTCTTCCCCCATGTGGCTGCCCGGCCGGCGCTTCTGGGCGAGTGGCTGGGCCGGGCGGGCGAGGAGCCCCCGCGGTTGCTCCGGGCGCCGGCGCCGCTGCCGTCGTTGCTGGGTCTCCTTCATGCGGCCCTCGTTTGGGAGGATCTGACCCGGAGCCAGGAAAGGCCAGCAGCTCCGCGGCCGGGCGAAGCGTATGTTCAGGTCCAAACGGGCAGGGCTTGTGCGGCGACTTTGGAGAAGCCGGGTCCTCCCCGACAGAGAAGGCGTCGGAGGAGGGGGAGGAGGAGGAGATGGTGGTGGCGGCGGCTCCACCGGCAGTAGCACCGGCAGCCTTAGGAAGAGCCATGAGCGAGGGGGCAGCGACGGCAGGAGCCCGGAGAAGCCCCCTGCGAGCGGCAGGCGAGCGGTGACCGGCGGAGGCGCCGTCGAGGAGCCGTGCGCTTTGGAGAGGTCCATGGCGCACGGCGAGGGCGACCCTCCGGCGCCCCCCGAGGTGGAAGAGGAGGCAGCGGCCGTAGCAGCAGCAGCAGCGCGGGAGGACGCCGAGGATGGCGGCTCCGACGGCGGCCTCGAAAGGGACAGCCCGTGGTGGGCGCAGGAGAGCGACGGCATGACCGTCACCTGCTGCCTCTTCAAGGAGAGGGACGCCGACGCTGACGCCGTCTCGCCCCGGCCCCGGGAGCTGCCAGCCCGGGAAGGGCGCTCCAGGCTCACTCTGCTGGAGCAGGAGCTCAAGGCCGTCACGTACTCACTCCTCAAACGCCTCAAGGAGCGCTCCCTCGACAGTCTCCTCGAAGCCGTCGAGTCCCGCGGCGGGATGCCCAGTGACTGTGTCCTTGTCTCCCGCGCCGAGGTGCGCCTGGGCGGTCAGGCGGCTCCTCCGCACCTCCTGCTGGGGAAGCTCTTCCGCTGGCCGGACCTCCAGCACCCGGCCGAGCTGAAGCCCCTGTGCGAGTGCGGCAGCTTCGGCCTCCCCGACGGCCCCACGGTGTGCTGCAACCCCTATCACTTCAGCAGGCTGTGCGGGCCAGGTTAGTAGCACCGTGGATTGCCTCGGGGCCACCTGGGGCGCGGGAGGGCTGGGCAGCTGGGATGTCCTGAGGCAGTTCAGGGAGGAGGACTGGAGTATTGGGGAAGGTGCATCTTCATAAAGGATCCACAGTTAGACCCCCTCCCATTTGACGTATTCAGTGTTGAAAATCAACATGCACAGGCATCTTGGTGAAAATTCTCTCACTTTGACCATGGTGGCAGAATAAGAGCGCCATAGATAGAGCCACTGTATTTCTTAATTCAGTTGCTGGGGGCAAACGACATGGGGAGAATCTTATCACCTGTGTGGCTAAAATCAAGGGGATTGCTGCATTATGGGATCCATAATGCTGGCCTAGATCAGAGATGGGGGACCTGTGGCCCCTAGACGCTGTTGGGTTCCCTGCTCCCATGGATCACAGGATCTGCAGTTGAACAGTGTCTGCAAGACCAGCAGTTCCCCATCTCTAGGTCAGATGAATCTTTGGTCTAAACCAAGAGGGAATGATGTTTTTGCAAGTGTAAAAGTTTGCCTGGAGTGGCATAAGCAACTTCCATAATAGTTTGCCATAGGAGGCATCTCAAAGGTGAGCAGATGTAGTTTGGCACGGATAACCAATTTGATGCCCTTCAGATGTACATAGGAAGCTCCCTTCTTCTGAGTTAGACCTGTGTCCATCTGCCTCAGTGTAGCCCATGTGGTCCCCTCCAGATGCTGGTGTACTACAACTCCCATCAATTCCAGTGGCCAGGGATGATGAGAGCTGTTGTCCAACAACACCTGGCTTCCTGGAGATGCCATGGATTGGGCCTGGAACCTTCTGCATGCAAAACAGGTGCTCTACCCTGAGCTCTAGCCCTTTCATAGGGCTATGGTTGTTGAACTACAACTCCCAGCCAGCATGGCCAGTGGTCAGGGATGATTGGAGTTTGGGTCTGACAGCATTTGGAGGGCATGACGACAGCTGTCGGCTCAAACTGCCAGATGTAACGACTGTCCTGTGGAAGTTGGTGCACAACAATCTTTGTTAGTCTTGGAAGGTGCTTCAGAATTCTGGTGCCTTTGTATCTCTTTCTCACCCTGTTTATTTGAGAGGCGCTCAGCCTGCTTTGAAAACAAGTTTTCAGTGCCAGATCTCAGGCTTGGCACATGTGACATGATGGGAACCTCCTTGGGGCAAGGACCTGAATTTTTTTGTGTGAGAAACTCTGCAAAGTGCCATGTCTAGCGATAATCTTGTATATGTGGCTAATCGTAGCAGCATAGGAAGGAACATTGCAAACTGGTTCCTCTAGCTCCCTACTGTCTACACTGGCTGGCAGTGGTTCTCCATGATTTCAGGCCGGAGTCTTTTTCCCTGCCTGGAGATTAAATATGGGACCTGCGTGCAAAGCAGATACTTTATCACTGAGCTTCAGCCCTTCCCTGCATATCTGAGCATGTGCAGAATGGATTCTGGGATTATGGTGCATCGTGTTGAAGTCATAGGGTGTGACCTCCAGGACGCCTAGAGCCACACAGTACCTCTCTGTTTATGGTTAACAACTTCTAGCCATTTCCTTCTTAAGCCAGGAATGTTGATCCTAACTTATTTTGTCCACCGCATGAGCTGTTCAAGTTGCAGGCCACTTTGGGGATGATAGGTTTGGAATGGTGATGGTTCACGCAAATGCATGGAACCAGAGACCTCTCCGCCTTCCCACCCTAGGGCTGATTCACATGTGCAGGTCCTGCACTTGAAAACTGCAGCACCCAGCGGTCGCCTGCATCCGTGAAGGAAGCATCACAGGAGCTTCCTGTTCCCCTCAGACCCAGGGCTTCCCATACCAAGTTGGTGGACACATCCCACTGCCACTCATCAAGACCTGGTTCACTTAGAAACTGCAGGCATCAGATAAAACAGCCTGCATGTGTGGATGCACCATCACAGTTCCAGGGGCCACCAAGAGAACTGTAAAATGTCGCCAGAGGCTTGCAGAAGTCAGTGGGCATCTTCAGCTTCCAGTATTCCAGCTGAGGCTGATCCAGTGTTGAGAAACCAAGTGATGCACATGCTTGTCTGAAGTTGTCCTTATTTATTGCACCACCTGTGGCAAATGGCTATTTACTACCAGAGCAGAGCAGCTTGCAGGTTCTGTGTGGCCCAGATCTGTTGATGTTTGGTGCTTGGCCCTTGGAAGTTGAACTGATTTTCCTTTTCAGTGTTGACAGGGCTGTTGTGCAATTTTGACAGGCGCAGTGTGGAAAGCGCACTGGTTAGAATATTTTTGGTCCAACATAGTCCATGACGATTGGTTAAAGAATTTAAGCCAGAGACGTCATGCTGTGCCCAGGCCCGTATCCCAACTTTTGAGAGTGAGAGATAAAAACATAAGTATAGCCCATATAACATAGCATCCTGCTCTCACAGTGGCCAACCAGATACCTATGGAAATCCCACAACAGCATTCTCCCCATCTGTGATTCCAGCAAGTGGCATACAGAGGCAAACTGCCTTTGACATTCACTGATAGCCTCAAACTCCATGAATTTGTCTAATCCTCTTTTAAAGCCATCCATGTTGGTGGCCAGTGTAATAATAATAATAATTTATTATTTATACCCCACCCATCTGGCTGGGTTTCCCCAGCCACTCCGGGCAGCTTCCAACCGAATATTAAAAACAATACAGCATCAGACATTAAAAACGTCTCTAAACAGGGACAAGCTTCAGTTGTCTTTTAAAAGTAAAATAGTTGTTTATTGCCTTGACATCTGCTGGGAGGGCGTTGCACAGGGCAGGTGCCACTACCAAAATGGCCCTCTGCCTGGTTCTCGCAGCGAGGGAACCACCAGAAGGCCCTCGGCGCTGGACCTCAGTGTCCGGGCAGAACAATGGGGGTGGAGACGCTCCTTGAGAATATAGGACAATCCACTTCATCGATGCCAAACACGTTACTAGGGGAAAAGGCCAGCTGAAGATGGTGGCCAAGGTGACACATCATGTTTAGCTGGAAACCTTGGTTTACACAAGAACATTGTGCCCGCTCTGATCCTCCCCATTCATGTTGGAAGGAAACAAAGCATGATTCCTGAAGCTACAACTGAACTGTAAGAACATATGAAGAGCCTGCTGGATCAGGCCAATGGCCCATCTAGTCCAGCATCCTCTTCTCACAGGGATCATAGTTTGTTTAGCTCAAGTAAACCATGACTGGTATGGCGAGAACAAACTTTGGTTTATCATTATGGTTTGCTTGGGGTACAGCAAACCATGGTCCCAAGTTCTGCCATCACACTGAAGCCAGGGATTGTGGTTGGTTCCTCCTGTTGTGAGTACCAAGGAGGGAAGTGGGTTGGGTTCAATGGTCCAGATGTTTTCAACTACAACTCCCACCATCCTTGACCATTGGCCATGCTAGCTGCGGCTTTCAAAAATATATATATAAATGCAGAGATGCTTTAAGGTCTACCAGCCAAAAAGCCCTGGAGCAAAGCAAAACTGGCAACAGAGCACCTTTGCTCATATTTCAATTCCTCCCTCTTTTGGAATAGATCGTAGCTTAAATTAGGGAAAGCACTCAGGGTCTATTTATATACACAGGGATCTCTTATATAGTATTATACACACACGGACACACATTTGGCACATTCTTGTTTTCTTAAATTAAAATACTGCTTTGCTTTACTTTACGCACGTCTAAAACCAGGTGTGTTGGACAGCAGGTGGTAATGCTGTACTAAAACACAGGCCTTTATTGAATAGCACCCTAGTGCAGTGTTTGTTCTGTGCTCTGTCTGCCTCAAGGGTTTGCTGAAGACTGATGTTGAGCATTGTCCGGGCGAGGGCTGTTTCACACATGCATGTGCATCCCTTGACTTCTCTGATTCATGCATCTCTGCTTTGCATTTGCTGACTTGGGCAGATTTCGTGTGAAGCCTTGTATCTGAGTAGATGAAACAGTCCTTGGGTCGCCCATTCACATGCGCACGCACAGAACACCTGATTCTTGGCCCACTTAGAAAGCTGCATCATCTCCCTGGATCAAAGGCTGCACTGGAAACCTGTTTGCTGAGTTTAAACTTTATATGTTACTTATAGTTATTTCATGTATGAAATGCATATCTTGCCGCTCAGTGGCCGTATTCAAAGTGACGAATGAAATCGGCATTGGTTATCCGCTTGCAAGGGAGACTTCGTTCTCACAAGCAGCTGATGAGCTTGGTAAGAGTTGTCCCTCCTCAGGTTGCAGGGTGGGGCTTGCATGATTGGGAAAAAAATTCCTTGCCCACAAAAAACCCCTAGATGTCAGGGGAAAGAGTTCCCGTCTTGGCTTCCTTTGTTATCTCCAGGGAGTCTGTTTTTTTGTTAAGGAACAAAGAAAATTGCTGCCTTATACTGGGTCAGGCCATTGGTCCATCTAGTTCAGTATTGTCTACACTGACTGGCAGCTGCTTTTCGTGGTTCAGGTTAGGGACATTTTTGGTCCTACCTAGAGAGATTGAACCTAGAACCTTCTGCATGTAAACCAAATCGAAGCCTGCCTACTTCTTCATGGTTGTATTAGGGATGAGGGCTCTCCTGGACCCTCCCCTGTGTGACAAGAGGTAATGTTGGTCACAGTGGTGTTGGTCACAGTGATATTTGACCGGGGGCAAGCGGGGCATTTTTCTCCCCTCTCCAGATAGCTGTCACCCCGATCAACGCTCCACTCATTGCCTGGCTCTAAACAAGGAATTGTGACCTGACATAGGGAAGCTATCAGACACATTAGTCCACCAAGCTCTATATTGTCTGCACTGATTGGCAGCAATGGCTCTCCAGGGTTTAAGGAAGGGTTCTCTCCCAGTCCTAACTGGAGATGCTGTTGGGGATTGAACCTGCAACCTTCCGCATGCAAAGCAGATGCTGTGCCAAACAGCTGGTGGGAATCCTGTTCAGCCGCCCATCTGGCTGCAGACATTTCCCAGTATGGTTCTCTACAAACTTTCAAGCTGGTGTAACCAATGAGTCCAGTC